CAAACCCAAAACCCCAAACCAATAACCCAAGCCTTTTTTATAAAATTTATATTTCTTCTTTTCACATTTTTTTTTTTTTTCTTGCTTTTTTTTTTTTTTCTTTCTCATAAAACAAAAGTGTATAAAAACGGAATTTTTTATTGAATGTGATGATTCACAGAACCACCTAGGTACTCGTATCCTGCGAGAAAATTAACAAACGCTTGATTTCCAACAGTATTATCGACAGTATTCGTTCCATTATGAAAATATTGAGCAGGTTGTTGTTGTTGTGAATATAGTGGGGCTCTTTCATTAGGGGATGAATTGGTTGAAGTTGAAATAGTATGTTCAGGCGTGGTTTGATGATGATGTTGTTCATAATGAAGCATAATTTCTGCGTTCATCTGCTGTTGTTGTTGTGCCACATCTGGAACTAAATAATATTCCAGAGGGTTGACCGATTGTTGATGTGGATAACCGTTTGTACCGTGATTATAGGGGATTAATCCGTTCATGGACGTGAAGGAGAATTGTGGTGTATTTCCATGATTATCATGATATGTTTGAATATTTTCTTCTGGAACGTAACGCATTAAGTTTGGTTCATATTGTTGTTGATGACGAATTTTAAATTCTTGTTCTCGCAACTGCATTTGGGGTGGAGAGATCGGAGTGAGCGGCACATGAGATGTAACGGAATTAAGTTGCTGAGATTCGTATTCTGTTGGTGGATCCGTAAAATGAGTTGTCAACATGGGAATCTCCGGACTTGGAAGAATTGTGGCATATGAAGAATTTGAGGGCACGGAATTATTTCGGGAAGTCATATTTGCATTTTGTGGTGACATATTAGTTGATGCTTGTTGTAAGCCATCGGGAAAATCCGACTTTACAGGACTTTTATTTACATTTCTTGTTGATTTTCTTCTTTGAGGGCCGGTGGTGGAACCGGTTGAGACCGAGTAATTTCTATTGTCAGCAGCGTCCTTTGGAGATGTTTGTTTTCGTTGTTGTCTACGTTTATCAACTTTAGATTTATTTTTAGGGCTAGGACGGTATACATAATTAGGATACGCTTGCATATGCTCAAGTTTCTTCCGATCCGCATATCTTTCCCATTCACGACGAATTTCTTCAGGCTCACTTTTCCACATATCAGAAATTCGTCTAGAAACTTCAGCATTTGAGAGATGTCTATTAGCTGCGATAATTGCGGGTTGTTTCTCTTTACGATATAAAATAAAAGCATTTGGAGGTCTCGGAGTTCTCTTTGGAGGGTGTACAGGCTCATCACTAGCATTAGGCGAATCACCAGAACCCTGATGCACAAAGTCGTCACCTGCTGCAGCGCCGGCAGCTAAGGCACGCGTGGTAGTAGAAAAGTCAGAAGTATTGTCCTGAAAGGTGTCTAAATTATTGATCAATGAACTAGCGTTACGGGAGGATTCATAGGATATATGATTATTAATTAGCGTGGAAGAGTCAACTTCCCGCGTTGACATATTGTTAATGATAATATCGTTGTTTCTTGACGTTTGTGATCTTGTGGATACTGTAGGAGCATCAAACATCAAGAGACCACAATGTCTTCTTCTCGCTTCGGCGTCCATTATAAGTTTTTTTTTTCTAATGAAAAGATTGAAATAAAAAAAAATTTTCTTTTTTTTTTTTTTTTTTTTTCTTCTTTTTTTTATACTATATTTTACAAGTGAATGTGTCGATATTAGCAAACTCTATTGTGGAGAACTGGACGGCTTTCTCCACCACAAAGTTGCTAAAGGTTAAGGGTTTTTCTGGCACTAGAGAATTGTGTCAGTTGGTTTA